AATTCTTGAAACGCTTCCTCGACTTCATTAAACGAGTCGAATCGGCGGCCCTTCAGAAAGTGTTGCATTGAGCGGAAAAGGCCGTAATCTGATGGAGCACAGTCAGGACTGTAGGCTGGATGTGGCAGAACCTCAACGCCGTCCAGCTCTTCAAACTTGTCTTTGGTCTTCCTGGCGGTGTGTGGCTTGGCATTGTCCTGCTGCATCAAAGCGCGCATTCGGTTGATCAGAGCCGGGTACTTTTGCTTCAACTTTTCGTAGACCCGCTCCAGTTGCTGACAGTAAAGTTCGGCACTGATGGCACGACCATTCGGAACCAACTCAAAATGCAGGATTCCTTCAAAGTTAACCCCAAACGCACAACATGACTTTCTTTCCGAATTGATCTTGTTTTGGAACCGACGGTGTCTCTTGCCCTTTCTGAACCCATCGCTTGTCTCGATTGTGCTGGATTGTGTTGCATAAAAATTCAATTTTTCGTAAGTGTTTACGAACTTTTGGGACAACCTAATAATATGGCGTAGATTACTATAGAAATTCCAATTCTCACTTGCAACAACCGTTCCGATGTGAAATTGCTCTGTGGTCAACTCAAATAATACCGCAGCCCTCTAATTTGCTATTTTTTTGTCTTGATCTCCAGTAATGTTGCATGAACTTCGGAGTTGAGAGCCTCATGTTTAGATGAAAGAGTGGCACCATTTTCAACTGCTTCAGTCGAAGCCCAGATTGGAATTCTATTGAAAAGCAGACATTCTCTCAGAGATCTTCTTGAAAATAGGGCACTTCGAGGCGGTGTAATGTTTAGAAAGCATGTTTTCGCTGGATCCATTACGACTTAGTAGTGAGTTCGACCCTCACTGGGTGATCCACACTTTCGGCCTTGTGCCACATCTGAGCTACGCTTAGAAAATCATTAACTACAGGCCTTGTGCTACAATTCTGTATGTTACAGCATAAATATCGAGATCTTGTTGAAATTTGACAGTATACTGGATTTACTAAGCGTTCTGTCACTGGTCCACTAGAATGAGGCACCCAGTGAGGATCAACTATATTGAAAAATATTAGTATTACAAAGCACCGAGAAAAACAGAATTAACTAAGTTCTTCTCAAGATGAAAACATTCGAACGGAACTGTTGCCGAGAAACACTAGGCTCAAATAATGCGGCTTGGCTGACTAGTGGGGATGTGTTGAGTAGCGTGGGATTACCTCTTAATTGCTGTTGTCCCTAGGTCCATCCTGACCCGAGGTGGTACCACCTATTAGGGTCGTGGCTAAAAACTTACCACAATAGATTTTTGAAAAAAAATTACTAATTCTACCAAAAAATTAAATTTCAGTATTTGATGACTCATAAGGAGTTGATATGCTGTTAAACAAAAACAAGGATACAATAAAGAAAATTTGAAGTCATCTTTTACGGGTTATCAACTCTTTGCAGGTTCTGTCTATATTTCTTAGATGAGGTATTGTAACTATTTACATTTTTTAAATTGTTCGGACTGTTATTCTCAGTCTTATTGCCATTTCGGCCCTTCTTCAGATAATGTACGTTAGAATTTATTCATTTATTCCAGAGGTAGACTGATCTAATCCCAACTTATGTAATCAGCACATATGCTAGGCCACAATAATCTCCTAAGCCGGCCTAGAATAGACACAAAATCAACATGGGAACCAGTAATTCAGAGAGCTAGAGAAAATCAACAATAGCAAAAAAAAATTTAATATGAGCTCTGGTAAAAAATAATGTTAATGATGTCTCCAGCAACATCCAAAATGAAACTTGAATGACCTAATCATGATTTTCACAATCCTTACTACTTAGGAAGAAAACCCCCATCAAAACAGGAAATAGCGATAACAGCTACTAGTCATAAGAAAACTGTTTTCCTGAAAAAGATTTTATGGATTTAAAATAAAAACAATACTGGCTGCTCGGTCAATGAATGCAAAATGTTTCCTTATAGGGAAAAGGATAATATTTCTATTACCATTACGATTTGCTCTTAACGTCACGCGAACACTTCCTGTATTCAGTTTAGCCATGATTAGATCTAAAGGTCTGTAGGTTATTATAAAAATGTTCCAAAAATGACCAAACTGCATTTTAATTTAAATGAGCCTAAAAGCCGCACGCCGTGCGGACTTTTTAGCTAACTCCTGCGGAGGCCTAATTGGAGCTCCAGTTCAAAAATAAAGGACCTCTGGTTCAGTTTAGAAAAGAGCAGTGATAATTTTGAAGAAGTAACTTTGAATTGCTTAATTCACTCAATGGAACTTCAAAATCTTACTCTAACTCTGATTCTGGCTATAAGCCCAAATCCAGGCAAAAGACGAAAGTCAGATTTGGGCCGAAATTCCAGTTCAGGCCGAAAATTGAGTTCTTCAAATCACAAATTGCGTGGAACTTCAAACCTTCACGTCACGAAACCTCTCACTCTGAATCCTTGGCATTTTGAACAAATAAAACTGAATTCCTCAATTCACAATGTTTTGGTGATATTTTCTACTGAATTTAAAGCAAAAATTTTTTTTTTTTAAATTCCCAAAGCTTTTGTATTACGTTAAATTCAATGTATATTTTAAAAAAAACTTTTAAAATGACTATTTTTTTTAGCTATTTTAAAATTTGAATTTTTAATTATTTTCCCACCTCATCCGGACACAAATCCCGATGAAGGGCAGATTTCCATCCTGATTCCAAAAAGATGTCTATGTAGAGCAACTGTGACCCGAGCTATAGGACAGGTGGACAGACAGAATTTGCTGTTTATTTATTTAGATAGAACCACAAATTATTGTGACAGACGACAAGGAAAGACTTTTAGTTTAGATCTGCAATATTCGGTATTTTTTTATTCTTTATTCCTCGGAAGTCTGCTTAATTTTCCTGAAATTGTCTGTCCTTTATGTCCCATCGATACTCTATTGCTTCTACCAAATTTTTTCACGTTTCGCTTTTTTCTTTTATTCTTCCTGGTCTCTTAATTAAAGGGGGAATCCATATTTTAAACTTTTTAAAATCTAGACTTTCAACTGGACTCATACTCCACAGGTTGGATTTGAACGCATAACATTTTTCCAACCGAAAAAAATCCTAATGTTGCACGAGAGTAGATATTAAGTAGAATGAACAAGCATTTCTTTTTGTTGCTTGTTGAAACAACGTCTATCAGTTTGTTTATTTTTTTTTCCTTTATAAAGAAGAAAGCGATATAGTTTAAAATATATAAATATACATATATATTTTGGGCAAGCTTTGTTTCGTTCATGAATGTAAAAACACTTTTGTCTGTTAAACATTGGTTTGTTATGTAAATATTTTGATTTTTAAAGAAATTCTCTACTCAGCAAATGAAAAGAGTTGAATTGTGACGCATTTTGCGATAAAAAAAATGACGCAGAGAAAAACGTTTGAAGCATGAAGCAACACAGAAAACAAGTTGAAACAGAATAAAAAAAGAATTTACTAATCAGTCGTCTTTTTAAAACTAATAATTAGATTTTATTTACGGTCAGACTGAAGATGGAAAAATGGCGATATGCATAAAATAGACGTAAGAATACAATACTAAGTATTGTTTAAATATATAGGTTCTTATCTGATTTCTATTAATATCATTATTTTTATTACTTATAACATTTTTTTATCGGTTACCTGTCCAACTATACTAATCTTGATTGAAATTATGAGGTAAAACGCCGTCCTTATTCTTTGAATTATTCGGGCTACAGTTTGAGAAACTAAACTTGTAAAATCAATTTGAACTCTGAAACTTACCTATTATGTATCAATAGACTCATTAATACACAAGGAGATTAATAATATCGGCAATATCAAACGAAAATAATAAAACAAATATCGCTAACATAATTTTCAGTTACAACTTCAAAGGACATCGAAAAGCTAAGCAGCACTTAATTTTGAAATCATTCGATATTCTTGCCAACAAAATGTTTCTTTGTTTAGCATCATATCAACTTCCTTTGGGTCATTTAATGCCGAAATGTAATTTTCTTGGAAGCATTAGTAATTTCTTTTACAAAAAAGCATTGCTGGTAAATTTTTTTTTATTATAAAAAATGTTCAGTTACAAATTTTTACTATAAAAATTCATTTGCATACTTTCATTGTGTTTTGAACCCAGTTTGACGGTAAACAACTTGCCCATAACTGAAACCCTAACAGGTGCTACCACACTGGATCAATGTGAACCTGGGAACACCAGCAATTAAGATGTGGTTCCACGCTCCTCAAAACCTCCCGATCAGAGACCTTGCTGCCGGGTGTAGTTTATCGTCATACCCAGAACACCCAACAAACAAAGTGACTTTACTACAACGTTTGATGTTCATAAAATAGTTAATTCGAACGTCACGGTAATGTCACCACAACTTTACATATACAATAGTCGAAAGGCAAACTGTCTTCAGTGTTGCAAGAACGTTCGGTGTTAGTTGTGATATAGGTCTTCAACTTGTTGATGTTAGCCTTCAGGATATTTATACTCTTGGTAGCAGGGGTTAGTTGTTATGTGCCGTATAACGATCCACACGCCAAAAATCAACAAAATTAGCTTTGAAGAACACATAATTGACTTATAGATAGTTAGTCTTGAGCCATGACAAAACATGTTACCTCAAGATTTGGAGAACGCCTCAGCAACCAGCCTGAACTGGATATTAGTCCAAAGCTGTTGTTGGGATCATCTGTTGATTCCGGGAAGATTGGTGCCTTCTGCATTCAATGTGAACATTTTACTTTTAGAATATATTAACAGTAGACATCTACATTTTGAGCACATAATTGTAGATGAATTATTTAAGACACAAGGCCGTTGGTAAAAGTTTTCTTACTCAGAGATATTGGATAACTTTAGACAGGAGGACGTCGCAAAACTGGTCTTGATGACCATTTACTGATGACCTTATTATGCACCTTACTGAATTCTTCGATAGGACAAGGTATGTAGTTTGTCTGAATACTTTCCATGGAATTAGCGGTTTTTACGTTTAATTTTCCTTTATTCTTTCTTTCTTTCGTTTTTCTTTCGTTCTTTTATTGTTGTCTTTCTTTTTACTTTCTTTTTTCTTTCTTCCTCTCTGTCTTTCTTTTTCTTTCTTTCTTTTCCTTTCTTTTTCTTTCTTTCTTTTCCTTTCTTTTTCTTTCTTTTCTTCTTCCTTTCTTTCTTCCTCTTTTCTTTCTTTGCTCTGTTTTTCTTTCCTATTCTATTCGCTTTCTAATTACCTTTCTCAATTATTTCGCTTTACCTTAGTCCTTTCTAATATTTTAGCGTTTCTTCTTTTTCGTTTTTCCTTCATTTTCATTCCTAGCTCATTTTATTATTCCTTCTCATTCCTTCTTAAAATTCCCCCCACCTCTCTTCTTCGTTCTTTCTTCTTTTGCTTTCCCACCTCTCTTTTTCATTGAGTTATTCCTTCTTCATCTTTCTTTTTGCCTTCATTTATTCTTACTTTCTTTTTATTTCTTGTTTTATTTTTCATATATATATTCTTTCCATTTTTCATTCCTTTTTCTTTCATCTCCTTTCTTTCTTCTTTCTTCATTTCTTCACTATTTATTATATTTACATTCCTATGTTTATTCCTCACTTTTTCCTCTCTTTATCCTTTATTACAATTTCTTTATCTTTCTCTCTCTCCATATATATATATATATATATATATATATATATATATATATATACAAATATAGATAACTATACTCGTTTCGAAAAACCCTCGAATTTTTGATTTGCCAATAATCAAATCAATCTTGAGGGAAAAAAAGGTTTTAAAAAAAGAAAGAGCTAGAAACATGAAAGTCTGTCGAAAAAAATCGTACAGATGCAGGTTTGAAGCACAAAGAAAAAAAACCGATACGAGTAAACAACTAACTAACAAAAGAGCTCAATACAACCGTCGAGCAGACCTAGATACACCGAGTCATCCAGACAAACCTACCCAAGTTTCACCTAAACGGATCGTCAGGGAAATTGACGATCCGTTTAGGTGAAACCTAGGTAGGTTTGTTTGGCTTTAGTTATATATATATATATATATATATATATATATATATATATATGTGTGTGAAAATATATAGAAAATAGGAAGGAACTGGTTAGGTAAATAGTCCAAAGTTCCTTAGTATTTTTGTTATTATTTTTAAAAAATAGTGCTCGATACAAAAGTAGAGCATAAATCCCTTTCATAATAAAATAAAATAAAATAAAAAAATAAATAAATAAATAAATCTCCATAGACAAGCCAACTTGACGAAAGCTTAATACATCTTCGTTTCGTTTTTAACACCCTCACCTTCCCCCGACTTGACACCTTGAAAGTATCTCTATACCGCTACTCATCATTAACATCCTACACCCGCCTACCCATTTTAGACAATTCGCCCTAGCTGTTACCATGGTGATTTTGATTTCAACTTTTAAAACAAGTAAATTTCAGATATACGTTATTCCAACAAAAAATTCGCTTGAAGATGGAACGGAGCCCTTTTTAATTTCAACTCAATTTAATTTAAAGGATTATATTGAAGTTTTCGGCTCTTGTTTTGAAACATGAGACCTCTTATGTAGCGATTTGGAATCATATTTTAAATAAATAATTATATATATATATATATATATATATATATATATATATATATATATATATAGTAAAGATAATAAATCCGTTGGTATGAATCCAAGTGGATCCTAGTGATACAAAATAAGAAAACTGATCCACAAACAGAACACAAAGTATTATTACAGAGCAAGAATTAATATAAAATAAAATCATCACTTCATATGGCGGAATAGCTTATTTCGACAGACGAAAATATAATTTGTCAGTCTTATCAACCCCTTATTAACATTTCATTCTCCCAATAATCCCAATTCAATGTTATATGGTTTAATTTTATAAAACTTCTCCCCTGACCCCTGGCTCGTGCCTTTCGTCTGACTGAAACATTGAAATGGATAAATTCTGTAATAGTTTTTTTTTTTTTTTTTTTTTTTTTTTAGTAGCTTTCACTGTTAAATTTCTATTTCCGACACGAACTCAGTCTATACCGTCGTTTATAAAAATTATATTTTCGTCTGTCGAAATAAGCTGATTCCCCATGTGAAATGATTTGGGATTTTATTGTGTTTATTATATATATATATATATATATATATATATATATATATATATATATATATATATATATATATATACATTTTTTATAAACATACTTTTCCTACGATTGTCTATTCTTTCTTTTGATCTTTAATTTTTTTTTTTTTTTCTTTCTTTTTATAGTTCCTTTTATGAATTCTTTTCTTTTCGTATTTCATTTATTTTTCTTTCTTTCATTCTTTTTTTCTTTCTTTGATTTATCTCATTTTTACATATTTATACTTCTAACGTTCCTTTCTTTTTGTTTTTTTTTTATATTTACTTTCCTTAGTTTTCTTTCTCTTTTTATTTTCCTACTTTATGCCTTTATCTTTCCTTCTTTTCTTTCTTTTTTTCTTTCTTTCTTTGATTTATCCCAATTTGTTTTATGTATTAGCATTTTTCTTACCTTTCCCGTTCCTTTCTTTTTTATTTTTGCTTCTCTTTCTTTCTCTCTCTCTCTTTCCTTTCGTCTTTTTTCGTTTTTCTTTTCCTATTTCATTCTTTTTATGCTTCTTTCTTTCTTTCTTTCATTCATTTATCCCATTTTATCATATTTTTACACTTTTCTTACCTTTCTTTCCTTTTTTTAGATTTAGTTTTCTTTCTTCCATTATTACCTTTCTGTCTTTTTTCTTTTCCAAATTCTAAATCATTCCTCATTTTTTTTCTCTTCATTTCCTCTTTCTTTTCCCCTTCCCGCCTTCTTTCCTGTTTTTTTCCTTTATCCTTCCTTCCATGCTTCCTTCTTTCCTTGTTTCATACCTTCTTCCCTCAATCCTTCCTTCCTCCATTACTTTCTTCCTTCCCTCCCACCGTCCTTCCTGCTTTGCTTCCTTCCTTGCTTCATTCATTCCATCCTTCAAACCTTCCCACCCCTCCCTTCCCTTTCTTTCTTCATCCGCCCTTGCCTCTTTCCTTCTCCCTTCCTTCCTTACATTGAGTCTTATCTACTTTCCATCCCACCTTCCCTTTCTTTCTTCCTACCATCTTTCTATCTGACCTTCCTTTGCTTTCTTCTTTTTCTCCTTCTTTTCTTTCTTGATTTCCTCCTTGCTTCTTTCCTTCCCCCTTCTTTTTTCTTTTTTTCTATCTTCTTCCCTTGCTCCTTCCTTCCTCCTTTACTTTCTTCCTCCCTGCATTTCTCCTTTCTTTCTTTCTTTCTTTCTTTCTTTCTTTCTTTCTTTCTTTCTTTCTTGTTTTCTTTCTTTCTTCCGTCCTTCCCTCTTTCTTCTTTCTTTCTTTCTTTCTTTCTTTCTTTCTTTCTTTTCCTTTCCTCTTTCCTTCCTCCCTTTCTTCATACCGACCTTGCTTCCCCTCTTTTTCTTTCTTTTCTTCCTTGCTTCTTTCCCACCTTCCTTCCTTCATTCTTTTACTCAGAGATTTTATCCCTGCGCATTTATCTATTCATACCTTTTTTTAGTTTATTTCTATTCACAGTCGCATTCTTTGGTCATTGGTGCAATTAATTGAATAATCCTACCAACTCGAAAAATCAGGAAAATTTACTGAATTCTTCATTTATCGTTCGACTCTTTGGAATTGCACAAAGTGGCTTTTTTGTGCTATGAGCGGATTCAGATAGACTCATCAGATGTCTGTGATCTTTGAACAATCAAAAAGAACTGTCTAGAATGGCGGAACTAAAGGCAAAATCCAATAAAAGAACAACGCCAACAAACCATAAAGTCTGCATTTATGGTTTTAGAATCGAATTCCTTACACAAGTAATGCTTACTATAATCGAGAGGCATTCTGTTTAGAAATGTCTCCAATAATTCCTCGGATCTGAAAATCTTTTCTGCTAAAAGTCAGTAGACATGCTCGCGGATATTGTTAAATTTCTGGTTAACATTTAATTTAATTTCGAAATATTTTCTGGAGAAAAAAAAAACTGTTGTTTTTCTGAGATTATTTCTACGAAGAAAATTAAAGATTATTGATGTATTTTTCTCTGTATATTATTTTGTTCGTTATCTTCTAAACAACAATTATAAGAAGTCAGAATGTATGGCTGCCAGACAAAGAAGAGCCCCACAACAGAATTCCAAATTGGCTATAACAAAATAAAGCAAGTACAAAAATTTATATATCTAGAAAATATTTTTAACAGATGACGTAAAATCTGACACCCACATCCGCAGGAGGATTTTGATAGCGAAAGATGACTTCTAAAAGTTAAGCAAACAATTAAGAAACAGAAAAATCTCGTAAGAAACAAAGTAAAAAATACTGAACTGTTATGTTATATCGGTACTTCTATGCTGAAAAATCTCATTGATGAAGAAGAGGCTCGAGGCAACAGAAATTTGGTTCTACAGAAGGATGCTGAGAATACCATGGACTGAACTTGTGAGTGACGACGAAGTTTTAGAGAAAATGGAAGCCAGAAGAACTATTATAATTAGCATCAGAAAGAGTTTGAAATTTTTTGCGCACATAATAAGGAAAGAAAGCTTAGAAAATTTGATACAGCGACATAGAAGAAGAAAAAGAAAAAGAAAAAAGAAAAAAAAGAAGAAAAAGAAAAAGAAAAAAGAAAAAAAAGAAAAAAAAAGAAAAAGAAAAAAGAAAAAAAAGAAGAAAAAGAAAAAGAAAAAAGAAAAAAAAGAAGAAAAAGAAAAAGAAAAAAGAAAAAAAAGAAAAAAGTAAAAGAAAAAGAAAAAAAAGAAGAAAAAGAAAAAGAAAAAGAAAAAAAAGAAAAAAAAGAAAAAAAAGAAAAAGAAAAAAGAAAAAAAAGAAGGAAAAGAAAAAGAAAAAAAAAAAAAGAAGAAAAAGAAAAGAAAAAAAAAAAAAAAAAAAAAGAAAAAAAAAAAGAAAAAGAAGAAAAAAAAAAAAAAGAAAAAAAGAAAAAAAAAAAGAAAAGAAAAAAAAAAAAAAAAAAAAAAAAAAAAGAAAAAAAAGAAAAAAAAGAAGAAAAGAAAAGAAGAAGAAAAAAGAAAAAAAGAAGAAAAAGAAAAAGAAGAAGAAAAAAGAAAAAAAGAAGAAAAAGAAAAAGAAGAAGAAAAAAGAGAAAAAAAAGAAGAAAAAGGAAAAGAAAAAAGAAAAAAGAAAAAGAAAAAAGAAGAAGAAGAAGAAAAAGAAAAAGGAGAAGAAGAAGAAGAAGAAGAAGAAGAAGAAGAAGAAAGGAGCGTGTATAAATTATGATAGAACAGGGATTAGGAGAGATAGCAAAATGATAACATTTGCTAAGAGTTACATAGGACTGAATATTGTGGAGAGCCATGATCGCTCACGAATTGAAAGGACAGCACAAAGAAGAAGAAGAAGAAAAAGAAGAAGAAGAAGAAGAGGAAGAAGAATAACCTTGGCCTATGTCTACCTCTGTGACTCAAGTGTAGACTGAACTTAAGTTTATCTTTTGACCCAAAATTAAACCTGAACAATGTCTACCTTTTTACTCATGCGTAAACCAAACCCAAGTCTATCTTTTGACTCAAGTATAAACCAGACCTATATCTACCTGTTTTGTAGACTGGCCTATGTCTACCCTTTTTGATTCAAGGTAAACTAAACCTATGGCTACCTTTTACTGAAGTGTAAACATGGTTTATGTCTACCTCTGTGACTCAAGTGTAAACTGGATCATGTCTACATTTTGACTGAAACGTAATCAGCACACATGTCTACATTTTCACTCATATATAAACCAGACCTATGTCTACCTTTTGTATTCAAAACTAGACTAAAACTAAAACGTCTACCTTAAGCATAAACATGGTATATATCTACGTTTATGAATCTCATGTAAAATATATATGAATATAACTTCTGATTCAAGTGTTAACATGATCTATCTCTATATTTAGGGTCCAGCATTATCCTCACCTCCGTATACTTATTTACATATCGTCCAAACTAGACCTGTATCTAATTCTGATTCAAATATAAGACGGAACTATATCTACCTTTTGATGTTTACCTATTTATTAATTCCTTGCGATTTTTCTGATTTTCTAAACTAACAATTAATCATTAAATTGACCGACGTAACCTTTTACAAAAGAAGATAAAAGTTAATTGGAAATAATGTTGCATCTATGTTGTTTATCTGAAGAGTTAGATTATCCAACACATTGAGCCTTCAAATAATTAACATTCCTATCAGGAACGTTACTACCTGTTAGCATAAATTTTGTGATGTCAACGAACACTCGTTGCCACTTTTGTAATGTCAACGAATACTCGTTGTCATTTTCGAAATGCTCGTCGTAGTAAAGATTTTGCAATCGCAGTCAAGCAATACTTGTGTCAGACGCCTTCGAATATCACTCGCACTAATAGTACTTGGTCGATAATACTCGTTCGAATAGTAATCCGTATAGCGAATAGAGTAGAGAATAGCTGTCCATATAGTGATAGAGGATAAATAACGTTAGTTTTTAGTACTTCCTACATATATTTAATAATGGGATCGTCTGTGTTTGCTCATTGGCGATCTATGTTCAAACTCAAGTGTCGGCAGCGACACTATATTCCTACATAACAATAAATCAATTTTTGATGACCCTGAGGATGATATTTACAGGAGTCACTCAGTGTTTCTGGTCCTTCAAAAAATAGACACTAGCCTGTGCGACTCAACTAGATTTGATCAAGCTTCCGATTGTGTCTTTGTATCGTTACTGCACCCACAAAATAAAGGCCAGATGTTCACCGACATTGTTCGTAGCTCTGAAGTCCTAATAATAAAATACTGAATGTAGCTTCCAGGGAAGAAATTTGGCGTTGCCACAGACCTTATCTGGAATGCATGTTGCCTGTAGAATTGAATTCTGACAAACAGTGTGTTTGTTTTTGTTATGGGACCTTCCATACGTAATAATTACTGCGCCTCAAGAGGAAGCAGGGAGTTCAGTCTGAAGTGTGGAGTGAAGTCCGGCAGGAGTCGGTCAGTCAGTCAGAATGAGTCAGTCAGTCGAGTCAGAGGCAGTCCGAAACTGAGTCGTGTTCAGACAATTACTAAACCTGATTGTTCGTACTAACACTTTCTACTTCTCTTTATATATTCCTGTTTGTAATATATCTGTGTTATTCCATATCCGTGTTCGAGTTCTTCTTTATTGGTTCTAACTTGGACTATCACCGTGGTACAACGAACCGGACCATAACAGTTTTACTGACTTTGTAAAAGCGAAAATCATTTTCGGATTTCTTCGGGTTATCGAAAGCAATTGCTTCTATAAAACCATGATACCTATAATTAAGAAGGTAAATACAATTGTTGTAAACCAGGGAAGGTTACTGAATAGAATAATCAAACGAAGTTTGGTAATGAACGATAACATTTCGGACACGAATAATACATATAAGATTCGCCAGTGGCGCGTAGAAGTAGTCAACTGCTAGAAGTGGGTCAAGTGAATTCCACAATGAATTTCCAACTGCAGGATATCTACTAACCGCCCCACGCGGTCAGATGTGGCACAGGGCCGAATTTAATGTGGGGTATCCGAGTCCGTAGTCCCGGCCCAAAATTCCCCGTTGATCCCGTAAAAAACGGGGTCGGATAGCTGTTTCCCGTGACGTTCTCTGTTCTTCGACATAGCCTCGTCTGGGGATGCCCTCTACCCGAAGGTAGAATGTTTGACCAGCACAGCCGGAGATGAATCTCCAACTGCAGACCAACATAGAGTATTTACTATGTGAATAGGGATATACCCATTATCGTCAGTAGGTATGTTACAACCATTATAAAACATATAATATCAAAGACTAATGCGCATTAGATTAGCAAAAGATGGATTCCAAACGCTAAGCAATGTAATAAGAAACGGAAAAATTCGTTAGAAACAAAGAAAAGAGTGTTGAATTTCTATGTGATATCAATCACCTTATACGGCAATGAAGGCTCAGCAATCTCCCTAGAGAAGAAAGCAACATAAATATGGTTCGGGAGAAGGATACTGAGAATTCCGTGAATTCATCGAGTAAGCAATAAGGAAGTCTTAAAGAAAATGAAAATAAAGAGAACATTTATAGTCAGAATCAGAGAGAAAGATTAAGTCTCTTAGGCGCATAATGAGAATGGCGTGTAAAACGTAACCCTGACGAGGTATATCGCAGGAAAGAGAGATAGTGGAAGGCAGCAGGCTACCTACCCGATGGTTTTGTGTGAATGGATGGCAGAACCTGAGGCGAGAGGCTGGGCAAAAGGTAAAAAAGATAAGGGACATGGTACATAGAAGAAGTGAATCATTGCAGATCACGCACGCACATGCTCAATCATATATATATATATATATATATATATATATATATATCTTAATTATTATAAAACGCAGATTGTGTGTGTGTGTGTGTGTGTGTGTGTGTGTTTGTGTCTGTAACGTTTATATATTGGATCGGATTTCCTACATTTTTTAACCGATTTCAACAAAACTTCACAGGACTACATAAAATTACCTTGTGGTGGTTCTAACGGCGCCGAAAATGGGAAAAAAAACATTTCTTTTTTAAGAAAATCAAT